TTGATGGCGTTACATTGGTACCTCGGTATACGTCCTTAATCCGTTCCAGATCCTTGGACTTAGACCAAACATAACCCGTGCCAAACGTATTTTCCCCATAAGAAATAAATAGCAAATGATTAATCCATTCCCATGAAGAAAAAAAAATCATATTGTTATAGGCATATTATACATTTATTGACTTGGTTGTATAAAATAAGTTAAACACTGTAGTACTAAAATGCATAAATAAAAATAACTTAGATGAAATAAATGAAAATTTAACCTCACATTACCTTGGTGAGAAGAGTCAAGTGCTTACTAATATGGTGCTGAGAAGGAGGAGATGTTATTGTTTTGAAGGAGAGTCCGCTTCCAATAAAACTTCAGGAATATGTCATACTGTTGTTGTTGTTTTTTTCGTTTTTTTCTGTCTCTTTTCCCTAGTTGACCCTGGCGGAGGCTCACCAGGTTTGACTTTCACTACCAATCTGTCTAAAGAGCTTTGCTTTTGACTTCTCCTCAGGATTATACGAAAATGCGACATTGTCTGGTCATTCCAGACAATGCTATTACGACTTGTTCGGGCTTTGTTGGGGTGGTACTTCTCATTTTGACACATACAAGTTCTAGCACGCACGCGGGTCGTATTCCAAACGTAGGTCTTATACCAAGCAAAATGCTTTTCGCCCAAATAGGACGTACATCAAGTTAGACATATTCCAAATTTGACCTATGCCGAGGTACCACTGTATTTTAAATTTAACCTTCACTCAAAGATTGTAAACAGTGAAATAAATAATAAATGGTAGGCTTTATATAAAACATGAAAGAAAGAATGATCTCTAGCTGACTTACTTGCCTGAAATTATGTTTTGCTTCAATAAAATCCAGAAACTCATTTCTTGGAACAGATTGTGAAAGACACAGAAATGTCGAAGATAGCCAAGCAACTATTTTTATATAAAGGTTTTAATGTCTTTCTCTCGTCCACTAGGCTCAATCGAGTTAAGCGTTTTTCCCGTATTGTTTTTGTGGCTTAAGGCAAAGCCAGATCTCTTGGAGCAGTGGCGGCTAAATACGTTGAGGGTGTCAGGAGAGAGAGGGGGGGCATGTGAATTTGTTACAATATCCTGTACCACATATTCATTTTAAACTAACGGAAGATTTAGTGCAACCCTTTATGGGGCCCTAACTCCGCAGGTCGATATTTTAAAAGGAAGCAATAAATCTTGGGGGAGTGAAGGTGTGGGGAGGGGGGGGGTTGAAGTTACGAGACAGCAGTTCAAAACGTGTAGGGGATTTCTTATCTGGGACAATGATTCAAGTGTAGTGTTAAGCACTTTCTTTAGCGGCATGACATGTTAGGAACAAGGCAGCGATTCATAACGTTAGTACATGTAAAAGCGTATGAGAGCAATCAGTGGCTTTATAACTAGGGTTGGTGTCACCCGGTGCGGTCCGCAACCCCCTGGCTACGCTCCTGAGAGCAAGGGTCCAACAAATGATTGCTGATGTCTCTTCAATTAGGTATAAACTAAACATTTTTGGAACTATCAACTGAATTGAGCCCATTTAACCCATTCGCTACTTATCACTAACACCAAAACACCCCCCTGAAATACTAAGCAAAGGGAGATCACTCTAGAAAATTCGTACAAATTGGGGAACAAATATTTTTTTATATCTTTCAGTCCTCGCCCTGAGAGAAAGAATTCGCCCCGACGTGGTCGATCCTAAGTATCTGTGATGAAGAGGGTGTGATGTATCATTCAAAAAATTAGTTTTATAATATCTTTCTTCAAATATTTCTTCAGGTGAAGGATGTTTAGTTTGGGTTATGTTCTTAGCTTTCTTGATTAGTCTTTATGTTCGGTATTTAACATCGATATTATTAAACGTAGGAGAGACAGGTCGCCGCCTTGGAGACCGGTTTAGAGAACACCTCTAAGCAATAACTAAACAAGCTCTCTGTCCGGTCTCCAAACATTTCAATAGCACTAACCATGATGGAATTTTAGACATCGCAGTTACTGGTATACTGTATACTAGTAACACACCGGACAGGATCTATTTGGAGAATAAATTAATAACAAGATTTTGGTAGGTTGATCAACATGGGGTAAACTAAATCCACAATTTTACGTAGATGCCGGGACTTTTTCCTTTTTCACATTTTACTTCAAATCACATCTTTTCCATTCGTCTTTATTTTGTTTCTGCCTGGTTTTTGCGCCCACTCCTATTTTTTCTCTTTTTTTTTTTAAGGTAGGATATCTGTGTGTATAGATATATATATTATATTATATTATTTAAATGTTTTGTTGTTGTACTGACGAAGGCTTGTGCCGAAACGTTGACTTGTGTATTATGTAAAATCCTTATTAGAGCTCAACATAGTGTTACATTGTCAAAACTTGGTCGCGTCTAATTAATCTATTTAATATCAGACGATGAATCCCCACACCAGCAGGTAATATTGAAATTACGTAGGCTTCCAATTGTTGCACTGTACAATAAGTAAACGACGTGTTTGTTTGCGCCGCAATTGTACAGTTGTTGTTTTTTTGAGGTAGGACAATCTTTGGTTGAATTTCTTATACAGCTCATGCCATGTCAGTGTAGCCTTGTGGTGGTGTGGCTTACACAGTTTAAATAAAACACCATCACTGAAACATATCAGAGAACTATTCTGAGTTATTCTTAGGCACAATCAGTTGACAGTAACATCCTTCACACAATCTCTCAAATGTGCTCACTCAGTATCAGACACAGCCGACTACTCGTACACCGCTCAGAAACAGAAAAGGCCACGGGTTCAAATCCCCACTGCCTTATGTGGTCCAAAAATGATGTCCAAGTCATGAACTGTTTACCAGTCTTCCCGTGGGACAGGTCTGCCCAGCTCAGTGACTGTGAACGTGGATTAAAAAAATCGTGTCACAGGAGCGTGTTTTCTTCGCCCCAGAGGTGGCACCCTACAAACAAGGTGGCACCCAGCCACACACAAAAACGTTATGAAAATACAGTTTACAGAAAGTGGCACATTGCCACATTAGCTTATTATTAATGGTGACACCTAAGTACGGATATGCCTCTACTTTCTCAACACTTTGATTTTTTATGTTGAGATCTGTAATCTGGAGTTTTCCCCTCCTGAAAGCAACAAAAATTTCCTTTGCTCTTGAGACATTCAACTGGAGAAAATTTTCATCGCACCAATTGATAAAGCTTGTAACTAAGTTGTGGTATAAGCCCTCTCCCTCAGATATTAAGCCAACGATGATGGTATCATCAGCAAATTTTAAGATTGGAGTGGTGTCGCTTGGGCCTTGACAAGCATTGGTATATATATTGTATAGAGTACAGGGGAGAGAGCGCAACCTTGTGCCCCCTGGTGCTTATTTCTCTGATTAGACATAATTGGTCATTTACCTTGACATATTTTGGGCGATTTGTTAAAAAGTTCAGTTTAATTGACAAATATATTTTTATAGATTCTGGTTTTTTAAAAAATCAAATTTACACAGCCTTTTTTTTTAGCGTTGACCCTCGTTGTTTGTCATTTATTAATGTTTAAGTGTCTCGTGGAACTTTGAAAAGCAGTAGCCCTTCTGTAAGTGGACCTGGCATAAATGGCAGCCTGTTGTCGTGTCTCTGATTATACCGCTGTCCATCTTGTTGCCCCCAACGTTTTCTGCCAGGTATTGGGCTTAACATAAGCCGACTGTTGTACGGGCTGCATCTCCCAGAGACTCTTGCTGTGTCAGGTGGCTTGCATTTTGTAGCTCCAGTCAAAAGCTGGTCTAAAACAGCATTTCTAAACAGCTGATGATCTTGTGCAGGAGAGTCTTGGGGCATCAGTTGGTTTGGCGTTTTTCATTAAGAGAAAGCTGTTGAACATCGAGAGGGGTATCAGGTACCAAAAGACATACCTCACCCACGTCTTACTGGCTCGGCCTACGACATAGTAGGCACGATGCTCGTACGACAAATCAACACCCAACACACACGGGCTCTGGGATCTCTATGTCCATCATTCCATCTTTCCACCTGCGTTGAACTGTGGCAACCACTGGGTCAGAATGTGTTGAAATTATATTTACTTTTATAGTTTAGGTTTTGCAATTGATGATGGTGTTAAATCTGATTATTTAAACAATTAAATACGTGACCACCCTCTGCCTTGTATGGTGTATGTTGAAATTCCGTAAATAAAAACTCGCATAATTCAGATATTGTTGTGTTAATTGTCATAAATCCCACCTATTAAGTATATAAAATGTAACATCATGCGCAAGTAATTGTAAACACCTGTTTATTGTAACGACTTGTAGCATAACGGTAAACAATCTTCGCCATTATATTTTTGAGGCTCCCTCTATATACACTCATGATTCTCACCAACCTCCATGTAATGTTTGTCTACATTTTTATTTAAGTACTCACAATATTTTAAATAATATAATTTTCTATGTTAGTATTAGCTCATTCTGCCCAATATGATAATCTCAACAAGTTCAAGTAGAAAATATGTATCCCTACAATTCTAATAATTGAATATCTAATTCACTCTCTTTCTCTCTCTCTCTCTCTCTCTCTCTCTCTCTCTCTCACTCACACTCTCTCTCTCTCTCTCTCTCTCTCTCTCTCTCTCTCTCTCTCTCTCTCTCTTTCTGTTTTTCTTTCTCTTCTCCTCCCTCCGTCTTTTTTTTTTTTATATCTCTTTCTCTCTCTCTCTCTCTCTCTCTCTCTCTCTCTCTCTCTCTCTCTCTCTCACTCACTCTCTCTCTCTCTCTCTCTCTCTCTCTCTCTCTCTCTCTCTCTCTCTCTCTCTCTGTCTTTCTCATTCTGCAACCATCGGCATGGTTTGTTTTTTTTACTTGACTCGAAGTCTAATATTTCTCAAGTGTATTAAAATGCCTTCTAATTACCGCGACATTACTTCAAATGTACAGATCTGTCAAAGATACATTCTATACATTCAATGAAAATTTATTTTTTTTAAACGGTTTATTTCTCTGATGTTTTCCATTTGATTCAAAGAGACGTTCACTTCTTTAAAACAACACCGCATCTGCCACAAGTAAGTATGCGAAAGTTGGGATTAGATGCGACATAGATTAAGTAGTTGCATGCGCTGTTGACACACAGAAGGAAGGCTTCCACCTCCATCAGAACAAGTTCCAAGTTTGTCTTTTTGTCTACTTGATTGTTGCTGAGCTCATAGTTGAGGAAGGAGAAGCCGCTGGTCAATGTGTAGACCACGCAGACGGACAACAGGGTGCGTGTCGTTCTTCTACCGCCGGACGCTTTTCCGGACCGGGAAGTGGTCTTACGAAATCTGGACGCCACCTGCACCTTGACGCCGATAACAACGCAACCGGCGAGGACGTAAAACAGTGGAATCGGTCCAGTAATTTTGTTCATGGCTGCATTCACGCCAAAGTAGATTTCCCGGTGGCTGAAGAAGAAATCAGTGGGGGCGTCACTGCCTTCGAGCGTGTTGTTTTGGCCCACCGTCAACGCGTAGTCGAAAAGCGATAAGTAGAAACCAGCATAGGCCATCGACAGAACGTACACAGAAAAGACAGTGATCCACGCCCTTCTGCGAGTTACGATCAGCTGAAATTTCAAAGGCAGGAAAATTGCGATCAGTCGCTCCGTGGTTATCAGGGCCGGCAGCATCAGCGAGACGAACAGGCCTGAGCTGACGAACCTGAACATCATGGTTAAGACAAACATTGCGTAGCCGGCGAGGTAAGAATTGGGACGATACATCCCTCCAGTAGACTGTTCAATCAAGTCCATTATCTTACTCGTGCCCAAGAGATAGAAGAAATCGGCCACCGCAAGGGATATCAGCAAAATATTGGACGATTTCTTGACGCCTAATCTTAGAATGACTACAATCGTGATGATGTTGCCTACGATGCCGAGATACGATACCCCTGGTATGAAAAAATATTCGAATATCCACACAATGTATTCTGTTCTCTCCTTGCTTATGGTTTCATAAGCAAATGTAACAACTACTGGAAGAGCCTTCATAGTCGTCATGCTAGAGTTGGCACCTTGCCAAAATGCCATAATATAACATCAACACTTCGACGAATTTAAAAAAAAAAAACTCTTCATATATGATACATTTCGTTTGGGGACTTTTGATTGAAGACTAGAGGAAAATCCCATATTTTTGTAAAACTACTAGTTTCTGACATTTTAAAACACATCGTGTACTATGAGGTGAGAAGTTAGAAGCGACACAAGAACGTCCATTATTATAGACGGAGAGCGTCTCATGATTGCCAATAATTAGTCGTAAAATGAAAGGCAGTCGCGGCTTGTTAGGCTAACTAACAGAACAAAGTTTGGGGGGGGGGGGGAAGAATTGATTTTAAAATGATCTTAAATTGGAACCAAGGTCTTAGCATTTCAGAAGAAAATAAATGATTTTAAAATGATCTTAAATTGGAACCAATGTCTTAGCATTTCAGAAGAAAATAAAGTACCTGCAATATAACAGTTATCAAGGCGGCAATTTAATGGAGGAAATGCCTCTTCCAATAGGTCATTAAAATATAAAAATGTGTAATAGGTTCCTAGACAGAGCACTCTTCCAATTTTTAGAGTAAAAATAATTCATCTTTATTTAAGACATGACGCAATAATTTAATTTCACCTTTCATACCAAGCGCCTTAACTGTCATTTCAAGTTCTGCTAGAGAAGATTACACTTAAGTGGTTTCCCTCGCAAGCCATAATCTATAGTCGTAGGTGTGAAACACTTAACTGGTCGTCAGGAAAAATGTACGATTTAAGCGACACATTTTTTTAACATGAAAAGCAAATTATGACTAAAGTGAGAGTTTAAAAAAAAACTTTCAATTGTATCTGTCGTAATTTTGATTTGATAATTATTAAGTACATTGTGTTATCTCTTCAGATATTTGGTTTGTTATGATAGTGCATTGTCTTTAATGTGCAGTATACTCTGAAGATCTAGCTGTTACGCTTTTGCCAGAAGTCTTTCGTTTGCATTCCTGCCAATGGATGGATCGAGAAAATGTCCAGATAAACGAGAAATCATAGACAAGCACTCTGACATACATGGAGCATTGGCACACACACGCACTCGGGCATATACACACCCTCTGGCCTAAACAACGATGACACACCTTCTAGTCTCAACACCAAAAGGGCTAAGAAGGAGCAACACATCGCATGGTGTGTTTTTCACTACAGCATAGATTAAAGCAGGCAACTCTTTATTGCTAATCATCTGTGTGTGTGTTGGAACAAACATTTAAAACGTCAATGTTCCTTGAAAATTAAAAAAGAAATCAAACGACAAATGATATCACCAGGACGTAGATGAAGCTGCCCTGAACGAAGCTGAAAGCACAGTCAAAATGATTCCATGTTAACAACCAAGAGCCCTGCAGGAATGCTCAGAGCTACTCGTATGTGATGCTGTCAATTTATTGATCCATCGATTGCTAATGTTCATTAATTGTTTCAAAATGTATTTGGTTGTGTCATTAGATTTACGCTTGGCGTCAGAAAGTTCCCATCATTGAGAGTAAAGTAAACAATGTGCTGAAGCCATGATCAGATGTTTGATACGTTCAAGGTCTTATGGTAAAGGGATGTTAAACGCACAAAGAAGAGTATCCAGTGTTTTATTTGATAATGCCGTGTGGATATACTTGTCAGGACATTAACATTTGCTTTCTAATGTTGAGCACCTCAATGATTCGCTCTAAATTTAATCTAAAACAATCAGCATGCAATTCAAAGTTTGTTTTTCAAGTCAGCCGAAAGTCTTTTAGACACAGAAGGAAGCATGACAACTATATATTTTAGTCAAAGCTTAAGTAGAATTTTCAACAGACAAGTCACGAGGTTGTCAAAAGGGTCTGCGAGACGGAAGTAAATCAGAAAGTTGCTGGCCGACAAAATCTTTTAACATGACTAGAAACGTTTACATTTCTTGAAATATACACATTTAGTCGTCTTAGTCGTTCACGATAATACCGAGTCTTTTGGGTCAATTAGATTTTGAAATAGTTCTACGAGTCCCAACCTCACTTTTCGTAGCTACGCAAGTTAAATTATTACAGTAAATCCTTGCAGGGATGTTGAGAAACAAGGAACAACTTGGAGGAAGGCCAGAGACATTCAGACTTTCTTGTCAATCTTGCTCAAGAATCGTTCCCTCGAATTTTATTGTATACATTTATTTTTAATGTTAAGTTTTCTGTTAATCTCCAACCCAAACGGTGAGATTTCTTTGTACGCTAACATACACACACACTTCAATTTGATTTACTATTTCCTATCTACCATCAGCTGTTGGAGGATTATCTTTCGAAAGGTCTGATGTTTTTTGTGAGCACTCATGGTTCCCCCTCTTATGTGTGTTATTTTTTACACTCCTTAAATCTGAACGCAGTCCTCTCCATATCATGCTCAAGAAAAAGTTCCCATGTATAAATGTAGACATTGGCGGTACCTTCGGTGAGATAGACAAGCACACCTTTTCTCCAAACTGCACTGAGACACAGGGACTGAGATATAGTCTGGGAACAATCTAGAGTGTACCGTAAGCAACAATATCGGTACAAAAACCATCTACATTTATAGTATATAGTGCACTGAAGCCGTGTGGCCATTATGAAACTTGCGCATGTAGTGCACTAATGAACTATAAATCCCATTGCCTACATCTTAACACATAGACAAAAAGATGGCCAACGAATGGGCATTTCTCTGGGATGAATTGCTTTTCTACTGCAAATTCCCTGCATTTCTAAACACCCTGCAAGTCTTGTATCATCGAATAACTGGAGATTCTAATCAATGATTCAAAGATTCTGAGTACTTGCTTTATATATTTGGAATCCTTTGGTATTTTAGGTATATAGTGTGCTAAGTGTAGAATGGGCTTTCTGTATAAAATGTGTGTGTGCAAAGTGACTTTTTTTTCTATAGCTAGAAAGTTTATTTTTCTATTAGTGGGTATTAACCCCGTCTCAGCTTATGAAAACACATGAAGACACTTGAATTCACTATTTGCATACACCAATCTACCAACGAAAATGAGTACTGGTACGATTACACTCTAGGCTATAAACCAATTACATTTCCCGTCATTTGGCCGCATGTCTGAAGCTGCACCGACGGCATTGGAAGGATAATGCTACTGAAATACCTGAAAATACAGCTCGATATATTATATCACATTTGAAAGCTTGTTGTAACACACGTGAAAGCTTTTTTAGTTGCCTTTAAATCCACAATTGGTACAGCTTGCTGTTGGTGTTGAGACTAGAATATGGTGCGAAATGTATAGCCGATCATTTGTTTGTTTCGAGCGTGACAGTCAAATGCGTTTCCAATATCGACGTAGTTTAAGGCTATAAAAAAAGAGCATATTGTATGAAATGCGAGATGGAAGCATGGAAAGAGAGGAGGGAGAGAAAGATTGTCAGAAAAATCATCAATTTCCCTCACGGAGCAATGCTTAGTAACAAGAAAGATACGTATTGGTCATTTGTGTATGAAAGAGTCTTTTCTCTAAGATAGAATGTGTAGATTCGTTTGAGCCGGTGCGATAATAGAGTGTAGAGCGAGTAGATACAACATTGCAACACCTGTATCGGTATTGGTAACTGAACTAATACATGTATGACTGACATAATCAGTTTCGTGTTGATTTATTGAGTCTTGATAAATCATAACCTAGACGCCAAGACGAGGAATTTATGTAGAAAGCCAGTTAATCAAAAGATTTGGTGCACTGACTCCATACGGTATCAATATTATTACATTCATTTCAAGGGCCCGAGCTATCGCTCTTTTGTGGCCCCGGCAAAGCACTTCACAGTGTTGATGTTTCCTTTGTATGTTTCCTTTTGGGTTGTTTAAAACCTTAAAAACTTGTACATGCCATAGCACTCAATAGTGTTCTAAAATGTTCTCTAAAATAATGTTAGTAAAGTAAACAAAAAAAGATGGTAATTTACCTGAATTAATGCGTTATCCATGTTGTTCGATGAAAAAATGTGGGGGTACCAGTTATAATTTTCCTGAATATTTCATCAGTTTTTAAAGCAATCTTAATATCCCTAAAAAATCGTAGCATACTTCTTGCTGACCCCGATACCAACAGGGTTTTCTCATCCCTTCCAATGATTGTCTTTAGACGGGACAGAAATCTATGGGATCTTCTGGTTCATAGTCCCCTTCGATCTGAACCGTCTTACCTAGGTACTAAACCATGCTTAAGAGGCCGCTGCAGGACTTGTCTCTTTACACTCCAAACTGAAAGCATTAGCCTCCCTAAAGGTACTTTTACCATTAAAGAGGGTTTCACCTGTGTCAGCCGAAATGTAATATATGTGATTGTTTGCCGTAGATGCCAATCTAGCTACATAGGTGAAACTGGGAGAAGATTGGCTGATAGGTTTACTGAACATCTAAGGGATATTGAGCAATGTAAACCTTCTCCAGTCTCGACTCATTTCAACAGAAAAGAACATAAAGATGCATTAGATGTGATCATTACGGCACTGATTTCATGCAGTAACACACCAGATAGGATTAAAATGGAAAATAAATTTATTCAGCTGTTTGGCAACATATCCCCATATGGTATTAATCAAATAATATCCTACTGATGTTTCTCTGTTTCCCTATATTTCATCTATTTTCTTATTGCTGTGTGTTGATGTATCCCTAGATATTCTGGTCCATTATTATTGTGGACTTCACTTTTCACAGTGGCAATATTTATATTCTCTCGCTTCCTGTGTTCCCACTTCCGGAGACACGAATGGATACTGCTTGAGTTGTCTACTGTGCTCTTTTCTTTGTTATATTTTCATTTCTATTGTTGGCTGAGGAAGGCTTTATGCCGTAACGTCCCTGTTTTTTTTTTGTCCTGTTATCCTATTCAAGCTTCACACTTACCCCGTTTTGCTATTTCATTCACTTACTAAGCTTGAAAGCAGTCCTTTCATTTTATATTTTCTAAATATCCCTAGACAGTTCAAACTACAGATATATAAGAAACATGTTTGCCAATTTATATTTATATTCATTAAGTAATTTAGAAGTTATATTGTTTATATAAAATGAAAATTTGAGAGAAAGTAAGAAGGGAAGCGTTATTCGCAG